TAGCAGCTAGATAATTCTCATTACATGGTCTGGGTTCATGTTTAGAGGTCATTTCTTGCTTTCCTTTTTAAAAGAATGGCTTAATATTAGATACGTCTTCTAGATCTTTAGTATTTAGATCAGGGGTTAGCAAACTACAGCCCGTGGGCCAAATCAAGCTAAGGATTGTTTTTACATGTTAAAATAAATCAAAGACAAATAGTATTTTGAGACATGTGAAAATTACATGAAATTCAAATTTCAGTGTCCATAGTAAAGTTTTATTGGGACACAGTCATGCTCATTTGCTTAAGTATTGTCTATGGCAGCTTTCAAGGGCAGTGACAGGTAGTTCAGTGGTAGAATTCTCACCTTCCAGGTGTGACATTCAGGTTTGATTTCCAGCCAGGGGTTTGATTCCTGGACAATGTATCTCATGCACAGCCCCCACCTGTCTGTCAATGGGAGCTTGCGTGTTGCCATGTTCCAGAACAGGTTCCAGTGGAGTCTCTACACTAAGACAGACTAGGAAGAAAGGCCTGGAGATCTACTTCTGAAAACCAGTGAATGAAAACCCAATGGATCACAATGGTCTGATCCCCCACAAGCACAGGGGTGGCGCAGGACGGGCAGCATCTCGTTGCATTGTGAATGGGGTTGCTGTGAGTCAGACCGATGGCAGATATCGGCAGTAACGACAGGCTGCTTTCACACTGCAGTGGCAGAGTTTAGTAGTTTTGTAGATCATTTCTTGATCATTTAGAGATCATTTACAGAAAATGTTTGCTGCCCCTGATCTAGATTGATTATAGTAAACCATTTCATTCAATAGGTCTCCTACTGTGTTTGCGCAAGTAAACGGGAGGGGAGAGGGTGGAAGGGAAAATGCCGTCTATTTGCCTTGAGAACTGGAGTGATGGGAAGAAGCAGAGCAGAGGCGACGTTCGGACTTATTTATATGTATTGCTGCCGAAAAAGATAAATTCAGACAAAGTCAGAAATTCTCCTAGCTACAGGATTTGGGGTTTCTGAGTAAGAGATCAGGATGAGGGCAATGTGTTTTTGCTGAATTAAACTTACTCTCTTAACGGCGACACCTTCATACTTTATGAATTTTCGGGGGAGTTCACTGCGATTCTCCAATGCAGGAGTCTTGTTATCAATCTTTATATCCCCAGTGTCCATGACAAAGAAAGTGATAAGTGTTTTTGGAAGGAAGGAAGGAAGGAGAAAAAAGAGAAGGGGGAAGGAAAGAGAGAAAGAAAGAAGGTAGAAGGAGGAAGGCAGGAAGATAAGGAAGATTATTGGCTGCAAAATATGCAGATCTGAAGGCTGGTGTGACCTCTTGGCAGAGTGCAAAGCAGACAACATTTGGGTGATTTTTCATTTGCTTCTTTCACACCTTCTTCTCTCACTTTCTCCAGTGTTTTCTTGCTCTTCTCAGGCCGTTGCTGCCTCATTGTTGAGTCAGCCTCCGAAGCGCAGCTGACTGTCCACTGCTCTTCCTTGTGCACATATTCTTACTTTGCTTTCTATTTTAGAGTCAGCAGTTAAAATGAGCAGGATCTTATTAAATCATTCTTCATAAAGTGATAATAACCGATAAAGCGAAAATGAATGAGAAATAGCAAAAATATGAGGTTTGAGTTTAAGAACTGCTGCTTACTGTAATTTCAGGTCCGTTACTAAGTATTGCCACCACGTGTCTGTCAGTTTGTCGTACTGTGGTGGCTTGCGTGTTGCTGTGATGCTGGAAGCTAGGCCACCAGTATTTCAAATACCAGCAGGGTCACCCATGGTGGACAGGTTTCAGAGGAGTTTCTAGACTAAGACAGACTAAAAAGAAGGACCTGGTGATCTACTTCCAAAAAACATTAGCCAGTGAAAACCTTACGAAAACCTCATGGATAGCAGTGGAATATTCTCTAATACAGTGCTGGAAGATGAGCCCCTCAGGTTGGAAGGCACTCAGAATACAACTGGGGAAGAGCTGCCTCCTCAAAGTAGAGTTGACCTTAATGATGTGGATGGAGGAAAGCTTTTGGAGAAATACTGAAGTTGTTATGGATTTCATTTTACTTGGATCCACAATCAATGCTCATAGAAGCAGCAGTCAAGAAATCAAACAATGTATTATTGAGCTGGGCAAATCTGCTAAAAAAGATTTCTTTAAAGTGTTAAAAAGAAAAGATGTCACTTTGAAGACTAAGGTGCACCTGGCCCAAGCCATGGTATTTTCTCTCTTCTCATACATGCATGCAAAAACTGAACCATTAATAAGGAAAACCAAATAAAAATTGCTGCCTTTGAATTATGGTGTTGGTGAAGAATATTGAATACCCTGTCGACTGCCAGAAGAATGAACAAATCTATCTCGGAAGAAGTACAGCCAGAATGCTCCTTAGAAGCGAGGATAGAGAGACTTTGCTTCACATACTTCGTACATGTTTTCAGGAGGGATCAGTTCCTGGAGAAGGACATCATGCTTGGTAAAGTAGAGGGTTACTGAGAATGAGGAAGACCCCCAACGAGACGGATTGATACAGTCGCTGCAACAATGGGCTCAAACACAGCGAAGACTGTGAGGATGGCGCAGGACTGAGTGGGGTTTTGCTCTGTTGTACGTAAGGTCGCTATGAGTCAGAACCAACTCGACGGTACCTAACAGCAACACTAAGCATCAGTTTCTATCTTATAGCCCTTTTCTGAGGATTGCATGAATAATTTAAGTGAAGATGTTTTTTTATCTCTGTTTATAAAAATCTGATTTTTATCATCAATGTAGTTTGCCTTCACTGTGTTTCATTTAGGTAGAAATGTTTTATTTATATAAAGCAAGGATAAGAACCTCAAATCTCCATAGGGGTCAGGAAGATGGGACTGGGTCAGAGGGTGAACATGTCTAGAGGACAGTCGCTTCTCAGTATCACCAATAACATTTCTCTCCAGCAATGTGGGAATCGTTTTATCCAATTATTTGATTTTTCAAGTGAATAAAAAAACATCATCTTTACATGAAATCTTCTGATTATTAAATGTTGGTGAATTATTATTGTTTTCAAATGATTTTTTTTTTTTATTATTCAACAATTCATAGAAGCCAGGGCAAAACAATGTATGGAAGACAGGGGAGGTGAATATGGTCCTATCCTGTCCGTTTGCAGTACCTGCTCTAAACAATAAGTTAAAGAAGTAGAGTGATCGTGGGTGGGGATTGGGGGTTGGTGTATGCTTTTATTTCACATTACATCACAAAAGTAAGGCTAATGTTAAAACTGGCCCTTTAAAAAAATTTTTTTTATAACTTATCCTTGTTAATTTGTGGTTGGGAAAAATGTGCCAGAAACATTTTGCTACCAAAATGATGTGTATATATAGAGTGTCATAGGGAAGAAAGAATAGGTTTTAAAATATATATTTATTGTTTTTTAAACTTAATTTAATTTTTATTTATTTTTTGTTGTTGAAAATGTACACATCAAAACATACACCAATTCAACAACTTCTACCTGTATAATTCAGTGACATTGATTACATTCTTTGAAATGTGCACCCCTCATCCCCCTCCTTTTCCGAATTATTCCTCTGCCATTAATATAAATTCACTGCCCCCTAAGTTTCTTTTCTAGCCTTTCCAGTTGCTGATGTCAGTTTGACCCCATATAGATAGTTCTTTAGACGAGCACAACGCTCAAGGCAGACATTCTTTACTAATTAAGCTAAATTATTCTTTGGTTTAAGAAGACTTTAGGAGATAGTTTTGGTTAATTTTAATAAGCAAATATTTACCTATTTATTCATATGACTTTCAACCACAAGACACTTTTAATCTGTAACTTCGTGCCTCTTATCATAGATAAGATAGACTATGTACCAATTTTATCCTACCTACCAAGAGATCAATTTGAACCTAAAATTGTAATATAATAGGTGCCTCTTCCCCAGAGGAGTGACCAGTTAATTTCCCTAGGATAGCAGCTTGCACAAAGGAAGAAAATGATAATGCAACAAGCTTTCAGAGAGATGCCCTGTTCTGAGAGTTAACCTTTGTGCTCACAAGTAGTTACCTGAAAAATTTCGAAGGTATGAACAGAAATAACAGCAGATTGCATTACCTACATCCAAAAGGTCAGAGGTTCAGATTACTACGGTAATGAAACTTCAGTGAGCTGCTTCAGATCTATTAGGTTTGTCAGTTTTTATAAGCAAGCTTACTTCAGGCATGCGATTATAACATGAAGGACCTATACTGGGGAAAATGCAGCAGCCGGATCTTAAGAGAAGTATTCAAATATCACAGGAGCCCGTACAGCGTCCACCTTCATGAGGAGGTTGGCACTTCTATAAAAACTGGCTGGTCCGACAGAAATTGTGTTCCCAATTCCAATGGAATAGAAGAAGAGAAAGAAGGTCCAGAAGGGTATAGAGGTAGGAAAGAGACGTTACTTCTCAAGAACGAAGCTCGACGTTTTATTATGCTTTTAGTATTTTTTTTATGTGTACCGTTGCCCATTCTTAATTTGCTTGGGTATCCATTCAAAAGATGTGTTCAAGTCCTAAGCTGCAGTACCTGTGACTATGACTTCACTTGGAAGTAACATTTTTGTATATACAATAAGTTAACACGAGGACATACGGAGTAAGCTGGGTCCTAATCCAACATGACTGGTGTCCTTATGAGAGAAACAGACACAAATACAGACACATGGGAAGCACGCCATTTGATGACAGAGGCAGAGACTGCAGTGATACATCTACAGACCAAGAAACATCAAGGACTGGCAGCTGTCACCACACGCTAGGAGAGAGGCACGGTACAGATTCTCCTTCAGAGTTCTCAGGAGGAACCAACGGTGCCAACACCTTGACTGCGGACTCCTAATCTGCAGAACAGTGAGAGGGTATTCTTCCTTTGTTGTAAGTCACTCGGTTTGTGGTGATTTGTTACAGCGGCCCTAGGAAGCTAATACAGGTACTAATAATACATCAGGGGGAAATAAAGGCAGGAGCGGCTTACTTACCTGGCTTAGTCCATTCCACGTCTATAGCTGTGTGGTTTAGTACCCGTGCAGTGAGATTGGCCCCTCTCTCTGGAGGACCAGCTAACGTCGTCACAGCTGCTTCCCGGCTTGTTGTAAAACCCACACTGTTGTGTACAAAGAGCTTATACTCATATGTTGTAAACCTAGAAAGGTTTTTTTAAAAAGTCATATGTAAGTTTCTATTTTGCAGAAGCCAAAATATATGGTTTATTTTTTCCCCACAATATACAGGATTCCCTTTCTTTTCCTCACAAAATGCGCATTTTTCTTCCCTGCCCCCCACAAAATAGATTATTTTCTTTTCTCTCCCTCCACAAAACATATCATCGTTTTGTATTTCTCCAGCCTTAACCAAAGCGTCAGGAAAATATTTTATTAGCGATACCAAACAAATATCACTATTTAAAACAAACGTGGTTGATAGTTTTCTCATTCTTACTGTTTTCAGAAGTGGTGAGGATTACAGCTCAATTCCAGATGCAATTACAAATCTGGCAACCTGCCAGCTTTCTATCTGAACTTGATCCAGAGTTTTACTCTCTCCTCTTGGGAAACTCATCCATTTTCAGATATCAGAATCCCACATCATCATCCCCTGTAGCTCGGCTTCTTTCCCGTAATCTCATTGGCAGACAGATAACCCCGAAATTAAATCGTAACTGTGACCAAAGTGAACAGCATTCTCCCTGTGAGAGTTTTGCTACAGTGAGCTGTGTTTTGCTATAGTGTGAACATATTTACGTGAGTCAGTACGGTGGAAACTCTATTGCTAGGCAGAAGGAGAAGCCTGGACGTGGTGAAGCAAGAGGGTAGGGACTTTCCAAGCCATAGATTACATCGATGGCAGACTAAGGCCGCCCAGTCTTCACTCCTTTGCATCTTTCTCAGGCAGAAGACTATCAGATTTTCTTTGTTTGGTTCAAATTGCCTGAATAGGAAGTGCTATTTATAGACACTCAGGCTTTGACTGGACAACAGCTTAGAGCAAGAAACTTGCTAAAGGCATGGTGGCAACACGTGACCGTGCCAAGGACATTCAGGACTCGGGCAAACAGTGGTCTCAGGACATCATCACCTAATTTGAGTTTAATAGATCATCAAGAATACCTTTAAAGAAAGAAAGGAAAGTGCTATTTGTAGAAAGACGTTACGTATAGAGGTCTCTTTGCCCAGCAATCAGTCACAGTTACACAGTCCACATCTCAAAGCAATCAAAGCCCCCCAACCTCCAAATGCAGAGCCCAGAGGATTTGTCTCAATAAGTCACAGGCTGAAATGGTTTGGCTTTGGTCCTCGTAGCGCAGGGCTCTGCTGGTCATAGTGCAAAGGGGAGGGTACCTTTCACAGGATAGTGTTAAATAATTCGACCAAAAAACATGTCAGGATTCCCAGCAGTTTGCTACCACCTATTAGAAGTCAGCTTGCCTCACCTGTTTCTCATGCATGGCCAAAAATATGTGTTTATCAATGCGTTTTGCAAGACTTTGCCTCAGCCCCACTTCAGTGGTTGCTCTGCTATTGGAGCTACAGGTGAAGACTCTGTGACTTTTTGAAGCTATTTATCCATTTGCTCTAAATGAGTACCAGCATCTGATCTGAGGATCTTCTACATCTTTCTGCTTTACCACTTCTTCTCATGTCTTTATATTCTCTTTCTCTTTTCTTTTTTCTTCCTTCCTTCTTTCCCTTCCTTCCTTCCTTATATGTTTTTTAGCAAGTACTATGTAGTCCTATGACCATGACAATTCAAAGATATTAATAATAGTTAGCATTTATTAAGTGCGTAATATGTGTCACTACCACCAGTCTGTCAGTTTGTCCTACTGTGGTAGCTTGCATGTTGCTATGATGCTGGAAGCTATGCCACCAGGACTTCAAATACCAGCAGGGTCATTCAGGGTGGACATGTTTCAGCAAAGCTTCCAGACTAAGGCAGACTAGGAAGAACGGCCTGGCAATCTAATTCTGAAAATTAGCCAGCGAAAACCTTATGGATCACAACAGAACACTGTCCAACTCGTTTGCTTTGTACACGTCATCAGGAGAGATCAATTGCTGGAGAAGGACATCATGTTTGATGAAGTAGAGGGCCAGTGAGGGTGAGGGAGACCCTCAGTGAGGGTGAGATTGCCATGGTAGGATAGGTGCAAAGATGGACTGGAACACGTTGGCAGTTGTGAGGATGACGCACGACCAGGCACAGTTGTGTTCTGTTGTATATAAAGTCACCTGGAGTCAGAGTCGACCTGAAGGCAGCTAATAACAACAATGGTATGTGTCAGGTATTATTCTACCTGTGTGAATTCACACATTCCTCAGAACAACCCTGTAAGGAGATACTATTATTCCTGCTTTGAAAATGAGAAAAATAAAGCTCACAGAAGATAAATAACCAGTCCACCCACAAAGCTATTAAGTGGGGGGATTAAGATTCAAACCTACATAGTCTGATTCCAGAGTTGACTTTTTAATCACTATGCTACATTGCCAGCATAGTAACGATGATGATAATAATAGTAATAATAGCAATCATAATGATAGTCTGGTCTCTCCGTTCTTGGATGATATCACATCACTGGGGCTTGACCTCTGAGTTGCTTTCGTGCAGTGGGGATAGATTTTTGCTTACACTTCCAAACAGTCTTGCCAAATTTCCTTTGTGACCACTAGTATGAATTTGAAGGATGGTGAGTCAGTGTTAAGAGGGTAGCAAGCCTGTGACAATGAAATGAAATGAAGCTAATGGCTCATGAGGGAATTGAACCAGAGACCTTGCGTTCATTATCTCTCTCCCAGGGTAAACTACTTATAATTGTGTTTTGCTCTGTAAAATGGTTGAAAAGAAATTTAGCGCCTGGATATCTAATCTCCTCTCCTATAATATTTGAATTTTTCTTTAACATGTCTATGATATTATACATTTACTAATACTTATGGCTTTAAAGTGACACTATTTTTGTGGTTCTTTTTGACAAATGGAATTAACAACATCAGATGGCAATAAAGTGGTTAATTGTAAATAATCTCTGCGAGGACTTTGTTCTTCTTATGATACTTTAACAGATGTCATTGTCATTTAGGTATGGCGGCATGTACGAGTTATGTCTGCATGGAAGAAACTTAGGTCACATAAATATGTGGAATTAGAACACATTATAAAGGTTGTACTATAATTTTAGGGTGAGGGATAGATTGAGGGTTTATGCACTTCAAATAATAAAATATCTGCTACATTTTACAGAGAAGAAAACAAATCGAGACGCTGAGAAGTTGAATGACTTTGCCTGAGGTTGCTCAGCTAGCAAACGGGGTGGCTGGGCTTCTGATTTCTCATTCCCAATATTCAGTTATTTCCATTGTTCACTGTTTTATTTAATTGAGAAATCAGCAGGTATTGATTTGATGTCATACATTTGATTTTCATTTTTAAGTTAAATTTTTAAAGAAATAAAATCTTGAGTCCTTTTAAATTCTATGAAATACTAAAACACACTTTTTTTCATTGCACCTATAACCTACTCTTTACATTAGTATGTATGCCTGTGACTTACCTACATACACAAGTTTGTATTTCACCACTCCACGTCAAAAAAAGAAGGTATTAGATGGCTTAGCGTGGATCTTCTACTTCCTCGGTGTATATTGTTTTCTTAGATTGACCTGAGTATTGATTGGAGCCCTGGTGGTGCAGTGGTTAAGATCTTGGCTGCTAACCAAAAGGTTCGGCAGTTCAAATCCACCAGCCACTCCTTGGAAACATTATGGGGCAGTTCTGTTCTGTCCTATAGATTTGCAATGAGTCGGAATTGACTCAATGGCAATGGGTTTGATTTTTTTTGGTTTCACGTATTGATTATTTTGATTATTGATTCTGAATGGGACATTCCCTCTAACTAATAATAAAAGAACACTTTTGAAAAATGTTAAATCGATTGACATTCTATATTCATGGCCAAACTTACAGATATCAATCAATTTCTTCCCTAAATACTAACTGTGTTCACTAAACATGCCTTAAAAAAATGTACCATTTCAAACTCTGTAGGAAACAGCTTTTGAAATTGCAAAGTAAATGAATACTCACATTGAATCTATACTGTGGCCAATAAAACCAACTGTATGTAGGTCAATTTTTCACTGAATCATCAATTCATTTGAGACTGTATTCTCTCTACCCCTCACAAATGGTTAACTTTGTTGTCTATAGACATGACTATGATATTTTCCCTGTAAAGGAAATATATATTAAAATTTTATTTATGGAACCATCTCGATTTTTCAGTTATTCTCACTTACATGAATTAGAAAATTAGATTCTGTTTGGATGATGCAGTTTTTAATCTATTTATAACTGAATAAATAGTTTTATAAGTAAATGGACAGCTGTTTCATAGTTGTTAAAGAATTCAGTCTCATAACTTTGCATGCACTTATGTAATTTTTAAGGTTACAAACACCAAAACCAAACCCATTGCCATCGAGTTGATTCTGACTCATGGCAACCCTATAGGACAGAGTAGAACTGCCCCATAGAGTTTCCAAGGAATGGCTGGTGGATTGAACTGCTGACCTTTTGGTTAGCAGACAAGCTCTTAACAACTGTTCCACCAGGGCTCCAATTTTTAAGGCTAGTGACACACAAATTTACCTGACTCCTAGATAAATGATCCTCTCTGAAGCTGAGGAAGGTGTTTCTTTTTAAATTATATTTAAAGCAAATTAAATTGCTCTTTCATGTTTGATATGCCCTCACTTCATTCTTTCATTCATTCAAAAAATATTTGTTTATCACTTCTTATGTGCCAGTTGCTAAACATAATAGACCTGATAGCTGTCCTCCTGGAGCCATACTGCATGTCAATTTTCACAGAAATATGTTTTAAAATGAGAAAATTAGAGTACTTATCCATTCATTCTATTTTCTTTCAACACGTGTTGGACAGAGCATCTAATTTAACCTGACTTAGTCAGGGACGTCTTCACAGAGGAAGTAACATTTGGGATAGGTTTTGATGACAAGTGATATTTTGTCCAGTGAAGACACAGGCATTATTTCGGGTCAAAATGTATGCAGGTTTGTATATTGAAAGGGTCTGATGTATTTTAGGAATGAACGAAATTCTCTGATGTGCTAAATAATGCC